AAAAAAAAAAAAAAAAGATTTGTCACCTCGAAAATCCTATGGAGTAATTCTACTTTGCCCTACAGGATACCTTTAAGTCAGAATTGACTTGTTGGCAACGAATTTGGTTTTAAGCTTCATTATGAATCCACAATTTCAAAGCGAGCAAATGATCTAAAATGTGCTGTCTTATATTCCTATACAAAAACATTTCAAAAATTCATGAACAAAATTCATTAATTTCTCCATGAACTTTGTGAAGCCTCTGTATTTTCTTAGTCAATAAAAAAAATTCCACTTACATGCCACCATAGGCTCTTCTAAGCCAAATGCAAAGATTTCTTAGTATATCTTACCCAGATTCCCTTGCTCAATTGTCAGCACCACCTCATCCATCACCACAGCTCTAAAATCCAGTTCTTCCTCACAACACTTGGCCTTTAGAGCACGTAGTATCTCTTTTTGGGGATAGTCTTCCATGATGCGACGGTCTGTCAAAAACCACAACTTGGCATTCGCAGAGCTACACATCTTGATCTGCTTGCTCTTCCTTTTCCTGGATTCTTTCCTCTGGAATGTGCACTCGTATCTAGATGGAAAAGAAGATACGTACAAATGAATCAATAAATCTACTTAGCTTTTGGTTTTTATACATATAAATCCTACTGTATTAATATCCAAACAAAAAGGTCCAAAAAAGTTATGCCTTTTCCCCTTTCATTCAAATGAAAATTTTAATACTTCTGAAAATAATGGAAAATGGCAGCCTCTGTTAAAACAAGATTTATCCACCAGGCTGGTAATGTGGGGGCCCTCAACAAGTTAGTGGAAGCATGAAATTAAAGGTAACAGATTTTTTTCCCACCACAAACTTTTTAAAGTACTCTCATCCAACTTAACAAATTATGCATTAGTAAATTATACATATTAGCAGAAATGTTTAATGCTATTCCCTATATTATAATCTAAAAAGTCTTTAATTTGATCATCTCTTTCACTGGTTTTAAAAATGAAAACAAATCCCTTCTTGATATGAAACAGCTGAAATTCCTTTAATTTTAAGAAATCATTTTATTGGGGGCACTTACAGCTCTTATAAAAATCCACACATCCATTGTGTCAAGCATATTTGTACATATGCTGCCATCATCATTTCCAAACATTTTTACTTGAGCCCTTGGTATCAGCTCATTCTCCCCCACCCTCATGAACCCTTGATAAATTATCTTCCTATCTTACAGTCTGCTGTTTCCCTTCACCCATTTCTGTTGTTTGTCACAAGGCGTGGGGTTGGGGTGTGTGTGTGTATGTTATATGTCAATCACTACAATTGGTTCCCCTGTCTCTCCCAAGCTTCCTCCTACCCTTAAGGTATTGCTACTCTCATTATTGTTCCTGAGGGGTTTATCTGTCCTGGATTCCATGTGTCCAGAGTTCTTATCTGTACCAGGGTACATGCTCTCATCTAGCCAGATCTGTAAGATAGAACTGGGGTCATGATAGTCCAGGGGAGGAAGCATTAAGGAACTGGAGCCGTGGTTCTCAATCTTCCTAATACCGCAACCATTTAACATAGCTCCTCAGTGGTGGTGACCCCCAACCATAAAATTATTTTCGTTGCTACTTCAGCACTGTCCTTTTGCTCTTGTTATGAATCGGGTGATCCCTGAGAAAGGGACCTTCAACTCCAAAGGGGTCGTGACCCACAGGTTGAGAACCGCTGAACTAGAGGAATGTTGTGTGTTTCATTGGTGCTATACTGTAGCCTGGCTGACTCATCCCTTCCTTCTGAACCCTTCTGTGAGGAGATGTCCAACTGTCTACAGATGGGCTTTGGGTCTCCACTATGTCTGCCTTGTTTGCATCAATGATTGCTCTGGGTCTTCTGATGCCTGATACCCGATCCCATCGACACCTTGTGATCACACAGGCTGGTGTGCTTCTTCCATGTGGGCTTTGTTGCTTTCCAGCGAGATGGCCACTTGTTTAACTTCAAGCCTTTAAGACCCCAAACACTATCTTTTAATATCCGGGCACCATCAGCTTTCTTCACCACATTTGGTTATGCCCCCATTTTGTTTGACCATGTTGAGAAGGTGAGCAGCATGGAATGCCAGGTTATAAGAACCAAGCGTTCTTGCGTTGAGGGAGCACTTGAGTAGAGGGCCAACACCCACATATAAATATGTACATAAACCTATATCCCTACCATTATATACATTTACAGAAACAGCTGAAATTCTAATCACGAATAATATATCCTGATATATCTCCAATCACTAGAAGCACCAATCATATATACTTATTGTTTCTGTAGTTTCATGTTCAAATTCTTTGTATATATTATAAATGTAGTCCTAAGTATCTAGATAATGATAGCAAAATCTACATTACTGAGCATCCATGAAGTCACTGTCACATAACTTTAATCAAATTAGTTATGAGGAAAAGACCTTTAAAAACCAGCCCTAGCCCATTCACTAAAATGTTGGTTTTACGGAATGTCTTAAAAAATACGAAAATTGAAAAAAAAAAAATACGAAAATTGTCCACAACCAGAAAGTATTTTCCTATCCTACCAAGAAAAAAAAACAACACATATCAACAGATAATACAAGAGCCCAAATGTATATTAATAAAGTGAAAATCAAACTGCTGATCTTCAGTCTTTAAAAACATTATATTCACTATTGAGAAGACAGGAAAGAGTCCTGTGTAAAATGGTTATTTTTCTGGCACTTAAATGCTAAGCTTTGGTGGCCCATAAAAGCATTTATTTATAAGAAAATACTGTCTCTCCAGCAGTGTCAAATAACTATAAAGTTTGTAAATGGAAACACACAGGAACATATACAAGTAGTAGTTCCTTTGCTAGAATGTAAACTCAAGTCAACTGACTCCTATTGTCCTCTGTTTCTTTACTTTTCTACAGTATGTTTATTAGCTGCTAAATGTGTATTAGAGAAATGCGTATTAGCTGCTAAATAAATGTTAATTAGCACTTCGAAGGTAGTATTTCCTTTGAATAAGGGAAATTCGAGAGATAAGCACACCAATAGAAGACATTAGTTAATCTGAGTTATAGATTCAGACTCACAAAGATCCTATAGAGCAAAATAGAACTGCCATTTATTGGTTTCCAAATCTTTAAATCTTTACGCAGAGATAGCCTCAGCGTTCTCCAATGGAAGCAACTGGTGGATTCTAACCTCTAACCCTGTGGTTAGCAGCTTGGTATGTAGCCCGCTATGCCACTAGCCAGGGCTAATTTAAAAGGCCTCTTCATTCGCCCTGTCAAAGGAAATGAACAGATTCTTGTTTCATTGCTTAAGATTTCCTAGAATCTTACATTTTAACTTAGTGATTATTATTTTAGATACTCCCTCAAATTTTGGAGTTCATTCCAAGTTTCTGTACTTTATAACCAAAGGAAAAGCACAGCATTTAGAGACAAAACTACCCAATACATTACAAATTTAAAATTTCCAAAGGATAAACCAATCTAGTCTTTTTTTTTAAAAACCGATCTAGTCTTTCCTGTAGGACAATTTAGATAGTGAAAAGATTGGCATCACATCACAGAACAACAAGAAAAGTTAAAATGAAAGCCTAAGAGTACCTTTTCTTTCTGTGTCCTTTTTGAGTGAGGGCCCTCCCTAATAGTAATTATTGTATTGGGGAAAAAAACCCAAAATCACAATCTACCATTTGGAACTATTAAATATCATTTACTATTAGGAAGGGTTTTTGTTTCTTTTCCCCCTAGATTAAACATAGCATATGACTTTGAATACAAGGACAAAAAAAAAAGATAAAGGTTGGAGAAGAAAAAAACAACATTCTTTACACATTTGACAATACCAGACATACACAAGGGGCTTCAAAAAGCTCATGGAAAAATGGGACTAAAAAATAATGGAATTTTCCCACAAACTTTTTGCTATCCCCTTATTTTCAATAATATCATTAACTCTTGGATTAAAAACAATGCAGAATAAATCTGTGGATAAAAAAATTGATATAAAAGATATATAAGAATTCTAAGCATTCCTTCACAGCCTCCTTGTCTTGGACCCTTTACTCTTGACTGGTCCTCTTCTATACATTATCCGCAGGACTTCATTTTGAGACCCCCTCTTGCTCACCCTGACCCAAGTTTCAACAGTTACCACTGGTTTGATGTATCACTTACCCATCAAATAAGTCTTTGCAAATAGGAGCACTCCATGGAATCTCGGACCCAGTATCAACTAGGTATCATTAACTAAATACCCCCCACTATTGCCACAAGTTGAGTATGTAGATTACACACACACATATGTGTACATATATTCTCATATGTCTTTCTTTTTCCACCCCCATGTCTGCTTTCATACCATTAGTTCCCAACACAATAAATTCAGTAGGGCACTTATCCAGAAATCTGGATACTGTTGACTATCTATACCTTTCTAGTTACACAGACACTTCCATCTCCTAAATATCATTTGACTTTTCTTCTCTCCATCTCCAGGACATACAGAATTCTATAAAAGCCTTCAAATTAATCTACTCTATTACCTCTCACTTCTAGCTTTCTGAACACATTGTATTCTTTCATGGAGCCAGGAAATGTATAAGGTGACTTTAAAATTTTTGAGAAAAATGGATACCTAATTGGATATGTAAACTCTCACCAAAACACAAAATAATTTTAAAAATAATAAATTTCCAAGAAAAAAAACGAAACTAAAAGAATTACCTACCTACTGAACTCTGGGCTCAAGTGTTAAAACATCTGCTAAGCTTTCCCTGACTCCTGAAATCATCCTTTCTCCATGAGTCTACATTATATTATATATACATTGTAGCCAATATCATACTATACTATAATTCAGGGTGTTTTTTGCTCAGCTAACTAGGACCTACCAGTGTCATTGGACAAATTCTTAGCATTTGGTTCGGTGAAAATGATCCTTTTTAGAGTGATTATACTTATAAGGATAATTTCAAATTATAATTGAAAGCCATAAAATGAAATTAGTTAAAGTCAGTGTTTCTCAAGCAAAGGTCAACACACATATTCAGATGGCCATGTACATATTTTTCCTTTTATTTTTATTATTCAAATTACAAAATGTCCTGGGTTATTTTCCCACTAAAATTTAATCATACTGCCGTTAAGAATTATGTTTTCTTGACTCTGTATCCTCAGAATCAAGCAATTCTAGATTATTATATGTTATATCAACATTCAGATACTGAGCTAACTGAGCATGTCTGTTATCTCAAACTTTTGTCATAATTTTTACATAGTATTAGGAAACTGGAGTTAAGAGATTAGAGATTTACCAACAGTTTCTCAAGTCTAGTGGAAGATTAGAGCCTAAATCAAGAGAGATATAGCTACTGGTATTATTCAGTCAAAAAGAGAAAGTCCTGATACATGCTATGGCATTATGCTTAGTATAATAAATCAGTTACAAAAGGGCAAATATTGTATGATCTTACTTGCTCAGGTGCAACAGGCAAATGCACAGAAAACAAACCTCATTAGTAGTTAACAGAGGTAGGATGGAGCAGACAGACTGCTTTCAGTTGGAAGTGGCA